CCCGCACAGTGGCGGGCCGGTCCGGTTCCGGGCCGGTTGGCCCGGCCCGAGTCCACCCCTATGGGCGGGTAATGGGGCGAATGAGTGTAAAGTTAGAACCGCCTTTTACTTGAAAACTAATAATCATTCTTAATAAATATTTCATTTAAGTGCCCTTGGACCATTTATATAATTTAATATATATTGGATGGAGACATTTATGTCTTATCATTAAGTTTTCCGTATGACAAATTGGATCTTATGTATTTATGTATAGTTAACATATGATGACTATGTTTTACTATTAAATACTTCCTCTGTCGGTTAAAAGTTTGACAAGTTTGATTGGCACGAGAATTAATAAAGTAAAAACTGTGTGGTTGAGGTTTGTGCAGAGGAGAGAAAATTAACTGAAAACACAAATTCTTTACTTAAAAGACAAAGTGAAAAAGTTAGTGTGACGTCCAAAAAAGGAAAGTAATTAGCAAAGTTTCAAGGGACGGATGGAGTAATACATAAGGGAGTAAATATATTTCTCTTTGATATACTCCATCTGTCCTATAAAATTATTCTCACTTTCCTTTTTGGGTCGTCCCAAAAAATTCTTCCCACTTACGATTTTTGGACAATTTGTTTGGTTCACATTCATTTCACCTTTTTCTTACACAACCACAACCATACATTTTCACTTTCATAATCTCTGTGTCAAGTCAAAGTGGGAAGAATTTTATGGGACGGAGGTAATAATATATAAAAGCACACATTGATTTCAATTCTTACGACAAAAGGAAGAGACTTGTTTCTTCCTAAGCGTCTCAACAATGGCTTAATCATGGCTTAACAAGGGAGACTTAACAATCCATCGAATCTGTAGTTTGTATCCTTAAAGAATGTAAACATCATGACTTCATCATGTTCTACAACACCGTCAACGTTTGATTTCTCCTCAATCAGTTAGTGTTTTTATATGTGCTTGATTCTATGAATTTTATCATGTTTAATGAAATTATATCATATTTGAGACTGAATTTCTCAACATATATATTAGCTTATGAAATGCAAAAATATGTTATAAATCTAACCCGACCCGTTTTTGGAATTGCTAAGTACTATCCTCCGTTCTTTAATTCTTGCAACGGTTTGACTTTCACGTTTATCAACGCACAACTTTGATTGTAATTATATTTAATTATGTATTACTCGTAGTAAACATCATGAAAGGTTGATATTTTGGAAATTCAAATTGATAGGAATTCAATAGCATTTTATACGTAATAATTTGATTATGTATATTAGTATAAAATCGTGATTAAAGTAAGCTCCGTAAATAGTGCAAAAATCACAATGTTACAAGAATTAAAGAACAAACGATGTGTTAGGATGTGTTACGATGTGTTAGGTTGAGCTAAATGGATTGATTTTCTCCAAACCCATCAGTGTCAACAATCACATGGATCAGACATGTCCTGAATTGATTCAATCCACTTACATCGAAAATAGAAAGTACAATAAATACCTGCGATGAGACTTGATATAAACGATGTGTTAGGATGTGTTGGGCATGTGCTTTTTTTACCCAAGGGTCAAGAGGAGTGGGGTCGTGGGGAGTATGAGATTAGTTGTTGTACACACGTTTGTACACACTTTGTATATTTGTCTGTGTACATAGATAATTGGGAGATAAATGTTACCTTCTTCTTAACGAATTGCTTGTGTGCACAAGCAAAATAGGGAGAGTGTGTACAAAAATGTGTACAAATAAATTTTTTGATGACATAAACGGGGTGAAATTCTTTTGGAGTTTCAAACTGGCACCTCTTTGTGAGAGTGAGTGAGACCAAAATAAAACATTTCCATTTGTTTGAATGTTTGGAGAATGGCATTTTGGAGAAGTTAGCGCGGATCGTAATCGGAATCTTTGAATAACTACATTCAAAGTTTACATGATGGTCATTTATATATAGTTAATACAATGTAAATCTTGAACACAATTATAATTACCAATAGTTATTAAATTACATTTTTGTTCATTAATTTTCCATAAGTAATATTAGTTGAGTTTCCCCCAAAATAAAGATCTATAATTAATGAGGTTTTATATAAAAACATTAGTAAAGTAAATCTCATTATTAATATTGTGGCTAAAACTATTATGAAATTAATATCATGATTATTACATTATTAAATTATAGCCACAACAAGTTTTACTATGAAGCCATTAAGAAATATGTTTATGAGTTTGAAAAGTAATTAAGGGTTTTAGATACTATAATAGTATTATATACACTATTGAAATTTACTGTAACTTCTTTTCAAATACATTCTTTTCAAAACAAAGAAATGCCACAATTATTTTAGAACTTAAAAACAAGTGTGTGAATGAGTAGAGGTCGCTTTTCGTCAATAATATTTGTTTTGGTTATACTCCCTATATGCTATTTCTGTTGGTAATTAATTACAACATGTTAATATTTGCATTATTCACATGCTCTATCTTGACTTCATATTCTATTTGTTAATGAGTATAAATTTATTATTTGAAAAACATTTTTAAATTCAATTCATTTTAAATTAAGATATTTCAAAATTTCAATGTTTAATATTAGTGAGTCAAATATGGGTTTTTTAAAAAATATTACTAAAATAAAAATTATTTACACAAGTATGACTAGGTATTTATGACAATGTATGTCATGGTAAATTAAGTTAAAAAATTGAATATAAATTACTATTATTTCATTAGTACTCTAGCCACTAGTCACATTTTTGTAAACAATCTTTATTGAAGTCATAAATATGTAATTATTCCATCAAATATATTCACGGTCAAACTTGTATGTTGGTAAACATGAAAAAGGTAAAATTTCGATTAAAAAGAATTGATCAACATATAACATAGTTTCCTAATTAATTGGATTACATAGAGATTGATAATCAATTATACACGGAATATGAACTTTTCGGAATCTTACAATGGACCAAATAATTATCCGTCTTGCAAAACTAAATTTATATACTACGGAGTAGTAATTAATTCAATTATTTTCTGACGTGCATGTATTTGGTAGGAAAATATAGATTCTCTATTATTTGAGAATACGGGGCATCTATTATAATTGGGGAAAATGTCAATTTTATCCTCCTACTTTCATGAAAAAATCAATTAGATTCTCGTACTTTTAAAAAGATCAATCAAATCATCGAACTTTGTAAAAATGTCAATCGAGTCTATTTTGCAGTTTACTTGCCTGCCATGTTAGCATTTCACCCTTTGACGTGGGAAGTAACCTGCAAATATACTCATCAATTGAATGTCATTAGAAAGTTCGGGGGTTTGATTGATTTTTAAAAGTATGAGGACCTGATTGACTTTTATCATGATAGCATGAACTAAATTGACAATTTTCTCATTATAATTCCATATATAAAGTATCAATTATAATTTAAACAAATACTTATTCTTAACACAATTATTGTACCAGTATATGTGAGTCACTTTGTACATGCAAATATATATGTTAAACGATTTTATTTAACAAGTAAAATTGAGAATGATGTGGAGAATAATTAACTTCACAATGCAATTGTTTCAGAATGCAAAATTTTAAAAATAATTCATTTATTTATTTCATATCCATTATGCATGTGCATTCACTATATACAAAGTATCAATTTCTTTTATTATGCAGAATAAAACAAAATTGAATATACTTTATATTATAATTTAATGAGTACTATTTCAACTCTTTAATTCGGAAGTCTCAATATAAAATTGATGTAGAGAATGAATAAATTTTAAATTAAATCAAGTTATTTACTTTCATATCTGAATTAAATGTGTGTATATCTTTATATAATATAAAGTAACAGTGGATGCACAATTGTTGGAGTGAAAAATCCCACCAAAAATAAGGGTAAAATGTAATTAAATTGGATTGTCCAAGAAATCACTACTAGAAATTACACGGAGGATATATATTAAAATGGTTAAATTGCATAGTAAATCTGTTATTACCAAAGTTACAAGATTGATCAATATCCTGTAAATCTATAAATGGATTCTCACAATTGTTAGGAGTGAAAAATCCCCCCAAAAATAAGGGTAAAAATGTAAATTGGATTGTCCTAGGAACCACTACTAGAAATTACACGGAGGCAATATATTAAAATGGTTAAATTGCATAGTAAATATATTATTACCAAAGTTACAAGATTGATCCTGTAAATCTATAAATGGATTCTCATAATTTATTTCCAAAGTAACAAATGGGTAATATTTAGTTTAAACACTAATATGGATGCTCATCAACGTTGTGAACTATAAACGTAATTACCCCACTCCATCCCGAAATTAAGTTCCACATTTGCTTTAGGAATGTCCCAAAATAAAGTTTCTACTTGATTTCTTTTCATATGTGATAAGTTTATATAATTCATTTACCATTTCATGTTCAGCTCACTAAATTGAATTGATGCATGTTACCTCTGTCTCATTATTCATCGTACTATACCAATTTTGGTATTACATCATTAAATAAATTAATGGTGTTTTTAAAATGCCAACTTTATTTCTTATTCTATCATAGCACTTGTGAAGTCAAATCCGAAATTTAATTTTAGAGTGGAGGGAGTACTATTTATAAACAAATTATTATCGTTTAATCTATACTATTTGTATTTCTAATGGATCAACATTTTTATCGCATATTGTTTAACAAAATCTATTAGTTTTTATTGAATACTTTATATCAAAAATTAAATTACTGTTACTCTTTTTCTATATGCTATTATAATCCTACCTGCAGTTCTAGGTTACAAAAATATCAATTAAATTATTCAAACACAAATTAAATAAAGATCATACAATTAAACCATCAAGAAATTAACCCTAGATCATATTTAATCCCTTCATCAATTTTAATTAAATTCCGAATTAAAACTAGTCACAATTAATAACCGAGGAATCAACAAAATAGAGAACAAAAGAATTAATTGTCATTAATAAAAAAGATGAAACTTACAAATAATCATAGGATCTTGAATATCCAATGTTCAAAGTATTGAAAAATTCGTCCTCAGCACTCTCGATAGGCTTTTGCCTAAAAAAAGGGTTTAGGGGATGTTTTAATAGAAAACGAAGCAATTCAGGCCGAAAACGGAAAAATTGAGGGCATGCACGGTGCACATGCACAGCGTGCGTGTCTCCCATGCGTCCGGAGTACCCGGAGCGTAAAATTTGCCACACACGGCATGCGTGGCCTCCATTAGCCTATACGTGATTTCTTCTTTTGCACATGGTGTGCATTTTTCATTCGTGCGCACGACGCGCGCTTCTCCCTTCTGAATTTGACTTTTCTTACCTCATCATAGTTATAGCTAATGAATTTCAATATCCACCACAACTTTCAAAACTGGAATTATATAATCCTATTAAGAGATATGGATAAAATGGTGCAAGGTCGCATCATGAAATCTCAACAACAATTGTCTGACTTAATCATCTATTTTCACCTTGATCCTCTCACATTCTCGTCATGGTGTCTTCGTGTGAATGGTAGACCTTTAAGCTATCTTTCATATGGAACCTGAATCGCATCATTTGAATATTTATACGAAAAGATATGCTCGAACGATTGACATAACGTTATCCTGATCGCCGTTTTCAAGCTCTATTTGTCCTCGTTTGATCTCGTATTTGATCTTTGAGCTCCCTTGTCTTCAATACTTTGTCTTTAGCACCTTTTAAACTTCCAATTATGCTAATCAACTCTTAAATGCATCTCAACTCTCTCGATTACTTCTCAAATGCCGGTGTCGAAGTTAATTCTCAAATTTTGACCCTAAAAATACCAAACACACACCAAATCCCGATAAATCATGGCTTGAGTTAATTAGGAGCCTTGTGACATTTAAGCTAGGAAAATTGACCAAAAATCAATCTCAACGCACATCAAATGTGTGTTGAAATACGAACTTATTAGACATCGAGAGAGACACACCAACCTGGAGCGTCAGTGTCTGGGAAAGAACCGCTGCAAAACAAAAACAACCAAAAAAGAAGAAGAATCCAGTTGGGTCATACCCATACCAAGAATCTTTGAGAGTTGATATCAAAACATCTCTGGCTTCCACGATTAACCCTTTCTCCAGGGGCGGATGTATGCTAGGCCAGGGGTGGGCTTCAGTCCAGCCCAATTTTATTTTTTAATAGTATTGGTACATTTTCAAATCTCAGCCCAGCCTAAATTATTTGTCAGCCCACCCCACAAATAATTTGTGAATCAGTGAAGTTATGAACTTCTGCCGTGAATTTGTAAATTGTGATTAACCGATTTTGTATTAAACTATTAATGTATTAATTATTATTATTTTTAGCATTTTAGAGTTTTAGGGCTAGGGAATCATACAATCGTTTTGATTATTAATTGAATATTTCAGTACATAATTAAATAGTTTTATTTTTTAAATATAAGTATTTTAATATATACCAATATTGAAAATGTTTTTTAGAATGGATAATGAACATGTTGCCAGGAAGGGAAAGAAGTTGATTTCATCATTCTTTTCGAAAGTGAATCGTCAAACTGGTGAAGGGAGTTCTGAACCTATATATACAATAGTGCAAGATCTAGTCAATTGGAATCCTCCACATGTTGTAGTCCCTGAAATCCAAACTATCTCAAATTTGGATTTCAATGCTCGATAGACATGCTCGAATGTAGAAGTTTAGACTATTCTCGTTAATAGATTCATGTTCAAATTATTCAATAAGTATTCAAATTTTTATTAATCATTAATAAATTTATAAAAATTGCACTAAAACGTTTAAATTTTATGATATGTACAATAGTATAATTTATATGTGAACGATAGGCTCGTGTTCGGATCGAAACATCACTATGTTCGATCTCGGCTTGAATAATTATTCAAACTCAAAACCTACTCCGTGTTCGAGTTCGAAACTTGTTAAACTCAATTCATGAAATTAGATTTGAAATCAAGCTCGAACTCGAGTATATAATTCAAAAATATCTTTGTTCGATAACAACCCTGAGCTAAATTTGGTATGTATAGTAAAAAAAATTACTTCTGCTTAGCCCCCACCTCATCTCTCGATCCTGGATCCGCCCCTGCCTTTCTCTTCCCTGGACGTTGCTTCCTAAGCTTGGCCTAGGGTTTGAGGTGTAGGGGAGTTCATATAAATAATTAATTAAAAATGAATATAAATTCAACTATTAAATTTATCATATCCTTAAATCCTCATTAGCTCATCTCTATTCAAATTTCTCTCTTAAACAAGAAGAACTTCCTTCTCTTCCCTTTCCCATTCTCTCTTGGACTAAATTTCAAAGCATTCTCCTTTGGTTTCTCTCAAACTCCAAATCATACGTTAAAAGCATATTTGGGAGTTTGGAGGGAATGTGAGGGGAATACATAGGTATATTGGTGGAAGGGAAAGAGAGGGGAATGTGATAACCCTTTATAAATTATTTTACGTCAAATCTAGTTCATGTTGTTGAAGAAACCTTCATTTGTATTTGAGGGTGATATATTTGGAAAAATGAGAGTTTTTAAAGGAATTATAATAAAAATTACTTTGAGATATGACAAAATTCAAATAATTGAATCGATATTCATTTTTAATTTAACTTAGATTATCCTTTTTTATTTATCCTTCAAAACCTTTTAAATTTGAGGAATTTAAATTGAGCATTTAAAAATTGAGCTCCAAAATCTTTCCCATCAAAATTTTAAAGTCTCAAACATGAAGAAAAAAAAGTCATAAACTCCTCTTAACCTTTTCATCCCCTCTAAAACTCAAACTTTCATGAATAAAATTGGAGGATATAATTTTGGAGGACTTTCTTGATCTTCCAAAACCATCTAAATGCTCACTTTTTTAGTTCCCGTAATTGGATAGTTTTAAAGGATAATTAATGAAGTAGTAATTTAAATTCAATTAAAACTAAACATCAGTTCAATTATTTGAATTCACCATATCTCACAGAGATTTTAATTATAATTCATTAATAAACTCTCCAAACATATTACTCCCAAATACATTTCCTCTCACTCTCCTCTCCCTTTTTCATTCAACAACGTAACTCTCCTCACTCTCACTTAAAAAAATCTTTTGTAAGTCAAAAAGAAATTTGTAATTCGGCAGAGCGGGCATGCGTGTCAAAATATGAGGCGTGCATGGAGAGTGGAGACTGCATCAATTTGTAGTGCCTTGTCAGATTGTCTCTGTGAGGATAAGATAACATTCAGTCTGCACCTAAGGACGGTGGATAAGCTTCAGCTTCAAACGGGATAAGATTTGATTTTAAATCACATCAAAAGTTTCTTCAAAATACAGACAGCTCTAATCATTTATGCGCTCCTATTATTTTCTAAAAAATGACGTTTATATTCATTCTTATACTCACTTTTATACACATTCATGTTTGTGAAAACTTTTTTTGTCTATGAACATCGATTCACAGATAATATTTAGGGGCGGCTTTGAGGGCAGTTGGGCCAGGCAACTGCCTTGAGCCTCAACTACCAAGGGGGGCTCCAAAAAAATCTACTCCGGTATTAGTATTAGGTGTTATTCGCGGACCGCCAATACACCAAGCGGAAACTGCAAGCAGAAATCAGCTTTATAGTTCACTTTTGACAATTAGTCCTTCATCAAAGTTGTAGATAATGAAGTCTTCTATCCAACATAACTTGCAAAACTGGATTTGAATCATCCAATAAAAATATATGAATAAAATGGTGGAAGGTCGCATTCTGAAATCTCAACAGAGGTTGTCTGACTTCGTCATCTGTTTTCACCTTGCTTCTCTCAGATTCTCACAATGGTGTCTTCATATGATTTGTAGCCATTGACGTTGGATTTCATATGAAACTTGAATCATGTTTTTTGGATGTTCCTAAGAAAATATATGCTTGAATGATTGACAGAACGTCATCCTGACCGTTGTTTTCAAGCTCTATTCGTCTTCTTTTGATCCCGTAGCCAATTCTAGAGCTCTTTTGTCTTCAAAACTCTGCCTTTAACACCTCACTGATCTCCAATGCTCCTAATCAACTCTAAAATGCTTGTCAACTCGTCCCTATTTCTTCTCAAACATCGATGTCAGGTTCAAATTCCCGGATTTTGACTCCAAAAATACCAAAACTCGAACCAACGACCGGTAAATATGACTTGAGCTTAAAATTGAGACTTATGACACCTTAAAGTTAGGAAAAAACTATCAAAAGCCGATCTCAACACGCATCAACGTCCATCACAGACCGCTAATCGGCTACGGTATATATGTCTCACTGCCCGCCGTCGACATGGGTCCTTGGTTAGTGAATCAACTAAGACTCTTCAGCTCTTCTCTCTGAGTCTCGTTCTTGAAGTCTCTTAATACTTTTACAAGTACAAGTTTGCCTTGTGTTTTGAATAAGTTTGCATTTTAAAATTTATCCTTTTGAATATTACAAACATTATATCGTGGACTTTGAATATGTTTTTTTTCATAAAGCGATATTTATTCAATTTATCTGATTTTAAAAGTGATTTGTACATAGTAAATATTTTTCATCTGGGACCTCCACAATGCTCAAACCGCCTCTGACAATATTTTGCACAAAAAAAATCTTCACAAATTATTTTCTCACTTGTATTACCACTCTTTTAACTTCACCTGAAAGTTACAAAAGTAACTTTTGTGCGACGTAAAAATCAGAGGAAAGAAGATTATGAACTTGTTTCACAATATTAAAATCATTCAGGTAATTGCATTAGCTACATGACTACAGACTACACGTGTTCTTATCAATTACATTATTTATAAAATATGGAATACATTATTGTTGAAGTTTATTCCCTTCAACCCGTAGGTCCAACACACAACCTAAGGATTTCGAGTGGGTATTTTAAAGGAGTAAGATCAAACAAGCAAGAAAGGTCTAATGAGGAGTCTCAATATAATTTTTGGCGTGAGTCCGTTCGTCCCACTGCTATGCTACGAGCTGTAATGAATGTTATAATGCTAGTGTGCTAACTTTCGATCCATTGCAATGAAATAAATGCTCCTTTTTATACCGTCAATGGGTAGATAGATGCATTGAATCGAGCTCTGAATGATTGATCCTGACCACCAAATATTCTTCATTAAATGCGCGACCCCCAGGATCATGGCTTCACGCCAAGGGGTGGGCACGTTCGTCCCTGTGGTCTTGTCTAGCTTGACCCCGACCATCAGATCTTCTGCATTAAATGCGCAGCCACCAAATGTCATGTATTAAACGCAGAATCCCGTCAGGATCTTGGTTGTCCGCCAAGGGGAGGGGACGACCGTCCCAATGAGCTTGCCTCTGGTTTCCTGCAAGACCCAAAGTCCTGCGAGACGTGCGTCTCGTGCTGCTCCTGATCCAAAGTAACTCCCTATGCTAGGATACGTACATCCCCTGGATGGGGAAGGGTATCATGTTGTCCCTCCATCTAATGAGGAAGGTTGATAAGGACTCCCGTTTGTTCTAGCGGACGTTCGTCAGCCAGCTGAATTGCTTCTTCGATGTGGAGCTAGAGACGAACTGCGTCATGAACTGCCTGGAGAGCTGTTCAAAACTGTCAATGGATCCGGGTCTGAGCTGCCCGAACCATTCCTACACCGGCCCTCTGAGGGTGCTGAAGAACAGCCTGCAGATGGCCTCATCGGTGGCTCCCAACATGGAGAGTCCTCCCTGGAAAGAAATGAGGTGAGCTTTAGGGTCCCCCAACCCATTGTACGTCAGGGCGCCAGACGGCCTGATGTCCCTGGGGATATCTACCGCCATGATCCCGGTAGAGAAGGGAGAGCATAAGGAAATCCTGGGCTGAACCGGATCAGTATTTGCTCATCGGCCCAACTCGTTGATCTGCGTCTGAAGGTCCACGAGCATCGCATCTCGTGGGTCGGTGGCCGTGATTGTGGGGGTTACCAGGGCTAAGGCATTCCCCAGACGCACGGCGTCAGCGCCATGCTGCCTGTTGATGACCCGGACCCCCTGCCCCAAGCCGTCGATCATGGGGGTCTGCTCCCTAGTTGCACGGTCATTACGGGGCATTACCCATGTGCGGTCCCGGATCTCATACTGCTGCGCACCTCTGAATATCCTGTGCCTGGTTCCCCCAGCTTCGCCCGTCTCCAGAGAGCGAACGTTCCTGACGATCCTAGTGTGGATCGAGGAGCGAGATTCCGCGGTCTCGCTTCTACGCTCATCGAGGAGAACGGGGTACGCTCGGTGTTCACGGAATACACCTGCTCCGCCTCCCGTTCGTCCGCCAAAAGGTGAATGGTTTCCGCCATCTCCCTCAATGCATTAGGGTCCCTCTTGAGTTAGTGAGGAATCAGGTCAGTAAGCACCCCAAGGTCCCCGTGGCCCCACAAGCTGCTGGACTGGCCGCCTGCCGCCTGCTGGCGAGCTCTTCGGCGATGTGACAGCCATTCAGAGAGATCACGGGAGTTCCCTTCATTGTTCCTTGTCATTCTACTTGTTTTGAATGCTTTAAAAGTGATTTTCAGTTGAGAGCTTGGTTTTCGAAGAACTTTTTGATCAGTTTCCCACAGACGGCGCCAGTGTTTAAGTTTACTCCCTTCAACCCATAGGCCCAACACACAACCTAAGGGTTTCGAGTGGGTATTTTAAAAGAGTAAGATAAAACAAGCAAGAAAAGCCCAATGAGGAGTCTCAATATAATTTTTGGCGTGAGACTGTTCGTCCCACTGCTATGCTACGAGCTGTAATGAGTGCTATAATACTAGTGTGCTAACTTCTGATCCGTTACAATGAAATAAATGCTCCTGTTTAAACCGCCAATGGGTAGCTAGATGCATTGAATCCAACTGTGGATGATTTATCTCGACCACCAAATATTCTACATTAAATACGCAACTCCCAGGATCTCTGCTTCACGCCAAGGGGTGGGCACGTTTGTTCCCGTGGGCTTGTCTAGCTTGACCCCGACCATCAGATCTTCTGCATTAAATGCACGACCACCAAATATCCTGTATTAAACGCAGAATCCCGTCAGGATCTTGGATGTCAGCCAAGGGGAGGGGACGTTCGTCCCCATGAGCTTGCCACTGGTTTCCTGCTGGACCCAAAGTCCTGCGAGACGTGGGTCTCATGCTGCTCCTGATCCAAGGTAACGGCCTATGCTAGGATACATACGTCCCCTGGATGGGAAGGGTATCCCGTTGTCTTGGGCCTTCTAGGGACGTTCGTCCCTATGGGCCTCCTGCTGAGCAAAGTCCTTCGAGACGTGCATCTAATGCTGCCTCTGAGCCAAGGTATCTGCCACGCTGGGATACGTACGTCCCCTGGAGGGGTTAGGGTATCCCGTTGTCCTGGACCTTCTGAGGACGTTCATCCCCATGGGCCTGGGTACCCACTACGTTAGGATACTTACGTCTCCTGGATGGGGAAGGGTATCCCTGGTGGCTTGGGCCTTCTGGGGACGTTCGTCTCCATTGGCCTCCTGTTTCCTGTTTCCTGCCGAAGTCCCTGTGAGACGTATGTCACATGCTGCTCCTGGGCCAAGGTGCTACGCTAGGATATGTACGTCCCCTGCTCCTTGACCACCTTGGGGACGAACCTCACCAGGGGGCTAACCCGTTGTCCTGGGCCTTCTCGACACGTTCGTAGGGTGGGCATTTAAGGGTTTATAGGCCAATCCCCATTGGGCCATTAATCCTACAATTATACTCTTTTTTTAAGTATATAATACATTATACTACGTATCAAAATAAGTAAAAATTTTCTCTGCGATAACTATAGTCACCTCAATCAGAAATGTAACTCTAACTTAATTTTGTTTTATCATTACACAATTAATCGTGCTAAATGAAAAGGTATGTATTTAGTAAAAAGTAACGAATAATTTTGTTAAACTGTAAATAATGATTACCAATTCAAGCAACTCTAGAAATCTGATGAATCCATTGAATCTACTAAAATTATTGCAATTCTCATTTTAGGGACTCGAATCGAATCCGATGAAAATAAGATTGTAAAAAGCTATAGTTAAACAATTCTAAATAAGAAATCAAAAGTTACTTACTTCTATTTGATAACAATTTGATATATAAGATGGAAATAAAAGTTACCAATGCAACTTTGATATGAATGAAACATTCTTTATTGTACAGGGAGATTTGCAATTTTAGTCATCTAGCTTTTGATGATTCTTAAAAAGTTTAATTCTCATAAACTTTTAAAAAATAGAAATTTCGCACATAAAAAGTTCAATTCTCATAAACTTTTAAAAAATGCATTCATAAATTGATAATAATCGGAATTGATAAGTTGCTACATAATTTTTAACACAAAAGGCTTTCATAAAATTTTTTTAACAGAAAAAGATCGATCAAACCAAAACATGAATAGCTTTGAAAGAAATCACAAATGAAGAGCCCGTTTGGTATCACGAAAATTGGCTTATTGGGCTTATTATGTTGAAACTTATGAAGTTGTGGCTGAAATGACTGCATTGGCTGATTCTGCTGATTTAAGAAACAATTATTTTTAAAATACATTTTATTAACAAAATAAAGAAAAAATTATATGTAAAAATAGCTAAAATGGTCATCTACAGTAACTTCAGCCAATACAGCTAGAAAAGTAACTCAAACCTTACTTTTTCTTATTATTACACAATTCAGCGCGCGAAAACAAAAGTTTCGTGTTTGGTGAAAAAGTGGGCATATAAGCCTAATAAGCAGAACAAAAGTGTTACCAAACGGCCTCGAAATGAATTATTCATCGGTTCTTTTTTAGTTCAAATGTTTTTATTTATACGTTTGCAAATATAGATATTTGACTATTAATATATTTCAGTCATTATTAGTAAAAAATAGGTCAGATTTTTTTTGTTTTTATAAATATTCAAATTTTGAAAATTTAAAATTAGATTTCGAAATTTTAAAATGAGAGGAATTTAATAATATTTTTTAAAAATTAAATTTATAATACATTGTTGTGTTTAATTGCTCGCGATCCAAATATCCAACACAGTCCTTTGGACTTTCATCCGACTTTTTATGTTTAGGAGTATTTAGTAATGGATTAATTAGCAATAAAAGATAGAAGGCAATACCAAAAAATGATGTAATATGAAATGCGTCAAGTTTTATTAAGTGGATTTAGAATGATTGCAACACATCTTATCGAGCCTGAGTCCTCAATCTCCCATTCTAATCTGAGGGTTTATAGAAGAAAATAGAGTGAGAAGATAATTTATTGAATGCAAATAATTCGTCGACCCTTTTTTTTTGGGGAATGTAAATATATAGATAGTAACCGAGTTTATGTACATCATATGAGCAAAATTTGAGGCATATCCAAGCAAGGATACCCTATAACTTCAGAAGCTGTAGAGTTTATTAACTTCTAACTACTATCATCTAGCAAAAACAATAGCCATCACCTCATGACAAAAAACAGGCTAGTTTCTAATTCAAAAAGGTATCATATGATACGGATATAGCGAGAATAGCACTTTGTAAACCATATATTTAATGTGTGCAATTGTATCATCCAGCTTTGGTGATGCTCCATCAAAACGAATCGCATTTCTAGTCCTCCATATCCAATAGATTGTGTAGCTGAAAGCTATCCGTGTAGCCTTTGCTCTAATATGTGCTCCTTTGCAATCTCTTGAAATCCATTTCACCGCACTCCTCAACGAAGACATTTGCCTAGAGATTCCGAGCCATCCTTTGATACTCTCCCAAATCTGCCCTGTACATACACATTCAAAGAATATGTGTGGTACCGTCTCCGGACCACCCTTACAAAAAGGACAAACATTAACAATATCAAGATACACCATGTTGTCATACGTAGGTAGCCTATTACGATAGGCCAGCCACATTATGAAAGAAAACTTGGGTGGGATATAGGCTTTCCAAATGAAAGACATCTATGCATGAGTTGTTCCTTTCATCCTAAGAAGGTCATATACCTTAGAAGAGGAAAGCTTACCATTGTGAGCCATCTTTCCAAGGTTAATAATGGTCTCGAGTATAGAGGGGTATTTGGATACCATAGAGTCTCGGATCAAAGCAATTCTCTTCATCAATTGAGAGTCCCTATTTGAATCAATTCGTCGACCCTTTAAATGTAAGTATGTAGTACATAAAATACATGTGCATTAAATGCACTTTTATTTGACAACTTTGCTTGGTGTACACCTTTTGTGTACACATGTCTGTCCCCCAGCATACAAGTTGTCTGTCCACAGACAACTCTACAAGTTATCACATGTAGAGTTGTCTGTGGACACACAGACAACTTGTTTATTGGAGACAGACATGCGTACATAAAAGATGTACACATTTGGTGTACACCACGCATTTTTCCTTATTTGATTCTAGGGTTTGTGCGAATTACTTGATGAAGCAAGTTGGCTGCTAGTTAGCTACATGTGAAAATACTCAAGTGTCGCATCAAGCCTTACTTAGTCACTTGTTCTCTCCTTATAGGGAACAACTTATCAAACCTCGAGCCCGCTTAGAGAGATTAATGCATCAAATCTCTTTGTGAAATATAAATTCAGCGCATTAGTCAAATTTCATTTAAAAAAGCGTCAAACTCCCTTATGTTATACTACCTCCATCTCGGTATGATTGTCTCATTTTACCTTATCAGACCGTCCCACTAAGATTGTCCCATATCTAATTGGTATACTTTGTGTTGCTGTAAATCATTCTTACTTTATTCTTACTTTATCAATTCAATATCAACCACATAAACCACTTTCTATTAATTTGTGTGTCACTCCCTCTTGTCCCATTGTTAGCGGGACGGAGAGAGTAATTAATTATTCGCCAAACCCTCTCCAACAACAAATTTAATTTCCAAAAAAATGAAAAATGATTAGTTTTTTTTGTATAATTTAGAAATTTTGACAAAGTTAGTTGTATATTCAACCATATTATTAAAACAGTTATTTCAAAATTGTAAAATTTATTCTTTGAGGGTTTTTGCGCATGATTAATGATATCACAGAGGATTTGACACATTTTTTAAATTACATGAAGCTAATGCGCTGAATTTATATTTCACGAGGAGATTTGATGCATTAAATCCTCACCTATGTTTGGCGGCGGGCTTTGAGTCCATTACACTAATTGGCAGCTGGGCGTATCAGGGCTCGGCGCCCGCCTGGGCTTAATACAATTTTTCAATCCAATTACAGACTTCCTTAATCCTTCATTTCCCATAGAATTTTCAAAGTAGTTTAGCTAGTGATACAAAGTTATATATCTACAAACTACACAAATAGCATGTTTGGTGATCTTGTTTTTCAAATAATCAATCTTATCAGACACATAAATTTTGATTTCAGACACTTAATTGTGTGATAATCAGAATAAGTAAGGTTGTAACTATGTTTCTTGTTGAGTTGGTTGAAGTTACCATAACGATCATTTTAGCTATTTTCAAATATTTTTTCTTTATATATTAATTAAATAAATTTTAAATATAAGGTTTTTATAATTTAGCATATTAAGCCAATTCAACCACTTTAGCTAGAACTTCACCAATTTCAATAAAATCAACCGATTAAGTCAATTTCAATTTTATCAAACGGGTCTAAAATTTCTATTGAAAAACAAATGTTTATAAACCTAAAGGGACAACAAATCGATACTCAAAATTAGAGAATAAAATGATTACATTTCAATACTCAAACTTAGAGAATTAATTGATATTATGTTAAATTGAAAATAAATTTAGGGCATATAAAAAGGGGAGATATGTTGTTTTAGTCCCTTAACTTTTGATTTTGTCCGCCGTTAGTCTTGTAACTTTACTCACCTACATATTTGATCGTGTAATTAATAAATTTGTCAATATTATTAAGTTTTCTACCGACATAGACTTTCCAGAAAAGGTGGAAAAGTGGCCGTCGACATTCTATTGCGGTACTCAATTTCCAATTTTCTCCATAAAAACTTCAAATAACCTGTAGTCAAATATACTCCGTAATAAAACACTCAAGTTCAATCAAAGTCATAAAATGATACAGATTAAACCTTAAAAATATTTACATAATAAAGGGAAAAACTTCAATACAATCTACTTATCTACACCAACATTTTGGGTGAGTAAGGGAATTCACTAACCCTATTAAGCTTACTTAGTTATTGAACAGTACAAATAGGACCACCAAGTAGCTTCAAGAAATTTTATAATGCCACGTATCTACAACCACAAATTTAATTATTAATAAATAAAAGAAATATATAAGTCTAAATTACCCTTGGAATCATATACTCTGTAACTATTACCGAGTATCCTTTTATGTTCTCTTTAATTAGTCTATTGACCAAATCAAGCCTAAGATTCAAGGTAAGGAAGAATTCCACTAAGTAGTAATTAAAGATTTTGTCCAGAACGTGAAGGAATTATTGAACGATCCTTGATGGCTTTGGCTTGGATCCTCTTGCAGTCTAACTGCTAGAATTAGAGCCTGTTTGGTAGCACCAAAATCAACTGTTTTGGTTGATTCTGTTGAAATTTATGAAATTCTGGTTGAAGTGGCTGCATTGGCTGATTCTGTTGATTTAAGAAAGAATTATTTTTAGAATATATTTTATTAATAAAATAAAGAAAAAATTATATGTAAAAATACCTAAAATAGTCATCTACAGTAACTTCAGCCAATACAGCCATAAAAGTAATGATGTGAGTTTTCTCACACTTTAAAAGATTGTAGAATATCGGTGAAAGTACGAGTATCGTCTCCACAGGGACGGACAAAAGGGAATCAAGGATTAATTAAATTCAGCAATTACAAAGGAATAAAATAAAATAAATGCGTCGTGCGAGATTGGTTGGTTGAATTAAAATTAAACTAATGTGAATGAACGATTAAAATAAAAGATTGAGTTCTCTCTAAATAACGACGAAGGGAGCAGGGATTGATTCCGGGGTAATCAGATTTCTGGCAGATCAGGCCTAATTACATTAAATTAATTTAATTGAGCCTAGCTAATCAATACTAAGTTCTTACCGCTCTCGCGGCGTAGAGTACAATAATTTAGGGGACCAGGCAGATCTCTAATGCGACAAGATTCTAAATTATTGCCACAACGAGCGAGCTTACGGCCCCTTAATCGCTACTAATCTCTTAGCCAACGATTAAGTGTGTGTGTGAATGTGTCCTAGAATAAACTAGATCTCTCTTGATTTATTCTATGTGCAATTGTAATTCTAACCGCGGTTCCAGGTTACAAAAGATATCAGTTAAATTATTCAAACACAAATTAAACGACATTCATGCAATTAAATCGAAAAGAATCTAGCCATCAATCATGATTAACCCCCTTCATCAATCCCAAATCCCTAATTAAACTACTCACAATTAATAATTGAAGAATCAACAGAATTTGGAAGAATCGAATAAATTGTCATTAATTAAAAAGATGAACTTACAAATAATCCCAGGGTCTTGGAATAAAATAGCGTAGAAACGGTGTTAAATTCGTCCCTAGGTCTCTCCGTAATGTTCGTCCCCCCTAAAAAGGGTTAGGGAGGTCTTATTTATAGAAAAGAGGGGAAAAATCACAATTTTGGTCGATGTGGGAAATTTCCGCGCGTAACTCGGGGCTACGCACGATCGTGCGTCCCTGGCTACGCACGATCGTCCGTAGCAGACTAGCAGGCAGTAGCTCCTCCACGGTTTTGGCTCTTACGCACGATCACGCGTCCCAGACGCACGGTCGTGCGTCCGTGTTCTTCAGCCTTTTCTCTAGTCCGAATTTGACAAAACTTCCTTCATGGATGTTTTCGATAATGAAGTCCGCTATCCACCCCAACTTGCCGAATGTGATTTGAATCATCCAATCAAGAGATATGAGCAAAACGGTGGACGGTGTCATTCTGAAATCGACGCAGAGATCATCTGACTTCGTCATCTGTTTTAACCTTCTTTCTCTCCTATTCTCGTAATGGTGTATTCATATGATTTGTAGCCCTTGAAGTTGTCTTTCATATACATCTTTAATCATGTCCATTAGTTGTTTCTACAAAGAGATATTCTTGAATGATTGACAGAAGGTCATCCTGATCGTCGTTTTCAAGCTTCATTCATCTTCTTTTGATCCCGAAGCCAATCCTAGAGCTTTTTTGTCATCAAATCTTCATCGTAAACCTCCCACTGACCTCCATAGCTCTCAAATCAATCTCAAATGCTTTTCAACTCATCCCGATTTCTCCTCAAGCGCCAGTGCCGAACTCTAAAATCCTGATTTTGACTCCAAATGACACAAAACTCGAACCAACGCCTGGTAAACATAACTTGAGCTAAAATTGAGACTTGTAACACCTTAAATCTAGGGAAAACCATCAAACCCGATCCCAACACGCATCAAATGCATGTCTAAATACGGACTTATCAAGTAACTTCAACCTTATTTTTTCTACTTATTACACAATCTAGCGCCCGCAAGCAAAAATTATGTGTTTGGCGAAAAATTTGGCTGATAAGCCTATGATGGAGTATATGGCCCAGGGACCCCCGGCCCACAGACTCCTACTTCTCATATACAGGCCCATCAAGCCCGATGAGCATGCAAAGTCCAAACGTAGCGGCCCAAGCATAAAGAAACCCATGCTGCACACGTGGAGGCCTTCGGCCCTATGGCCGAGAGCCCTAAATTCTAGGAGACAACTTGGCGTGGACCTGCAAAGCTTCCGGGAAGTTCTGGCAAAAATGTTAACCTTCGGCTATATGATGCCTTCAGCTATATGATGCCTTCGTCCACACATAGGCCTTCGGCATACAGCAGACTCGACGAATATTCCTTTTAAAGATTGGAAACCACCGCATTTAATGCGGTGTCACGTCCAACCACCGCATTTAATGCGGTGTACATGCTAATGCCGGTGTCACCCCGATTGAGATGACCCTCGGTCGTCAGATGTTTGACACGTGTCCTTGCTTAGCATTTATGACTACTATAAATAGCATCCGTTTTCCATTGTAATAGACACAACTTATATATCGAATACCTACTCTCTCTCTTACTTATTGCTCTGACTTCTCTCTAAGTTATTCACTGTAATAACCCCTCGGATAAGCTACCCCCGGGTACACTATCCATCATTTGGTGCTCTCGTTGAGAGGTCGAACAATCAAGTAAGAAACCTTCCCCTTCAAAGGACAAAAACACCCACCGAAATGGGAAGAACCACTTGTGCCCAGTCCAAGACCCTTGAAGACAACAACCTAGCCCTCGTCGAGGTCGACGCCCCTGGAGCCTCCAACAGGGCTCTTGAGGGCGGAGTCATCGCCAGGTTGGAAGAGGCTACTGTTGACCTACGTCTCCAGCTCCAGAAGAATGCCTCCGATGCCCGCCTAGGCTTCGAAACTCGGAAGAAGGACCGGAGCGAAAACCAAGTGAGCCCTCCGGTCCTCACTGTCGATGTGCAGTCGGTGTTCTCTGCCTTCATACAGACGCTCACCCAGAACCCTGGGGCCTTCGGCACTTTGGTGCCACTTCAGCCACATGTAGGGGAGAACATCGTTCCTCCCCCACCTCCACCCCCCTTCGTAAACCCTATCCTTTGGATCGGGAACAATGAAGGGGTCGTTGCTTAGGATACCACTTCCCAGGAAGTTCAGTCCTGGGACCAGTGTGGGGTGAACAAAGATAGGCCCCGAACCTCCGCCCTCGAGAGGCTCGGAGGAGTGCAAGATCGTCGAGGGGTCCAAGACCACCTCAGTGGTAAGGCATACCAAAGACCTCAGGAGAGTGGATGATCCATCTCGAGGGCAGACGAGAGGCGTCCCCCTCGGGACAAAGGCAAGGGACTGCTCCATGCTGATGACGCCAGGCACCAAATCATCCAAGCTCACTCAGCCTGCGCACAATCACAGGGGGCGGAACCACTCCCGAAGGATCACTGGGATGACATCATTGGGGCCCTATAACGCCGGCTTGATGAAGTGGAGGCTCGCCAAGCGCACACAACCGCTTCCGCCTCCCATGCGGATCCCAAATATGAGGCCATGCTGGCCAAAATGGAGGAGATGCAAAGGAAGATTGCTGAGGGCTCCGGGGAACCTGTCGTCCATCTTCGCACGAAGACGCCTTTCACCCCAAGGGTACTGGCAGCTTAGATCCCGGTAAGTATCAGGGACAAACCATAAAGCCCTATTAGGGGAAGACGGATCCCCAGGAACATTATAGTAGGTACCAAAATAGCATGATGATGATAGGGGCATCAGATGAATATTTGTGCCGTTGGTTCGTTTCCACCTTGGAAGGACCGGCATATGAATGGTTCAACAGACTGCCTGAAGGCAGCATTGACTCGTGGCAAGAGCTTGCCCAACGTTTCTTGACACAATTTGTGGGAAGGCACCGGTCAAGGAAACATTTCTCCCACTTACTCACGATGAGGCAACGGAAGGAGGAAACCCTCCAGGATTTCTTGGAATGCTGGAGGCTGGAGACGGACAAGGTTGACAACGCCGACTACAGGACCCTTATGGCTCTCCTACAGACGGTTCTCCGCACCGAGAACTTCTCAAGGAGCCTCATCATCGACCCCTCTTGCGACTACATAAGGGCCCTCCAGCGGGGAGACCGGTACGCAGAGGCCGAGGAGGTGGAAAAGTGTCACCAGAACCCCGAGCAACAACGTTTTAGGGCAGATGAAAAGAACCATCGGGGGTCGGGAGCTCCATTCCACCAATCCAAAGGTCCAGTCCCCTCGAGTGATCGCCCCCGGCACGACCAAACTAAGTCCGGGGGAGGCTACAAAAATAACCCGAAGGCCTAGGCCCAAACCGTTCTCTTCTAGAGCACCCTCGGACCCCCCTGACGCACCCCATCAGCGTCATTCTGGGCTATGCTGAGGAAAGGGGGTTGGTAGAGCGAGATTCCAGGGCACCTCGAGAAGTATACGCCATCATCCCCGAGGAACCCTACTGCCGTTTCCACCGGCATCCAGGCCACTGAACTGATGATTGCCACCAGCTGAAGGCAGCCATCGAGAAGTTGATAGAGAGGGGTCACCTGTCCCAATTCGTTAGGGGATACGCTCACTAAGGGCCCCCGACGAAAGTAAACACCTGGGTTAACCCAAATACCATCCCCCTTGGCGATCTGAATGGTAAGAAAAGGGAGATCGGGAACCTCAGCGAGGAAGAAGGGTACAACCAGTGCCAAGAAAAGAATCGCCACATCTACATGATCAGCGGTGGCAACACGAGGGGAGACTCCACCAACCAAATGAAGAAGTGAGCGCAATCCCTTGTGGGGAGCCCATTGTATTCACAACCGCCGATCTCCCCCCGTGAAGCGGTTGAGGGAGGAGCCCATTTTATTCACAACCGCTGATCTCCCCCCGGGTTCCTTTCCTCACAGGGACGCGCTAGTGATCCAAAGTTAGATCAACGACACCATTATCCACAGAACTTATGTTGACATGGGCAGCTCCGTCAACGTAATATACCTCAGCACATTCAAGGAGCTGCATCTGGAGAGGGAATCTCTTCGTCCCATCCGGAACTCTCTGTCCGACTTCACCAGAGACACCATAGATTCTGAGGGGATAATATCCCTCCCGGTACTCTTCGGCGATGGGCTCCATAGAGCCAAGCTCGAAGTGGAGTTCGTCGTCGTCAATATCGACTGCACCCACAACATCATCCTCGGCCGGCCTACCCTGAGGACCTAGAGGCGGTCATCTGCATGAAGCACCTATGCCTTAAGTTCCCGGCTAAAGGGGGCATCAGGTACTCGAGGGGAAATCAGAAGCTCTCACACGCCTGCTACCTCCAGATAACGAAAAAGGTTAGTAAGACTGAATTCCATGTAGACACCATCACCGGAACGGTAGAAGTAGAAGAGAAGAGGCCGAGGGCAGAACCAACTGAAGAAGTGGAAGACTTTGCGCTCAACCCGGCCAAGCCGGAGAGAGTCGTAAAGATTGGATCCAAGCTCCCTGAAGACTTGAAGACCAGCATCACCGAGGCCCTCCGTGCCTACGCCGTTGTCTTTGCATCAGCCGAAGGGTGATCACTCATCGCCTGGCGGTGGACCCTTCCTCAAAACTTGTGCAACAGAGAAGAAGGTCCCTCTCGACCGAAAGGAGGGACTTCGTAAAGAAAGAGGTCACTATTCTCCTCTCCATCAAACACATCAGGGAGGTAAAATACCCTTCATGGTTAGCTAATGTGGTCCTCGCACAAAAACCACCCTCCTTCCGCATGTGCGTGGATTACACAGACCTGAATAAGGCACGCCCTATGGATCTTTTCCCTCTACCGAACACTGACCAGCTGGTGGATGAAACGGCGGGCTGTAAAATCATGTCATTCCTCGATGCCTTCCGAGGGTATCACCAAATCTACATGCATGAGGAAGACACGGAGAAAACAGCCTTCATGACTCCCGAAGGCATCTTCTGCTATCTAGTTATGGCCTCCGACTTAAAGAATTTAGGCGCCACTTATACCCGGATGGTGGTCAGAGTCTTTCAAGCCGTCCTAGGGCGCACCATGGAGGCTTACGTCAACGACATGATCATCAAAAGGAAACGATCAACCAGCCATGCCAAGGACCTCCGGGAAATTTTCGCCATCATGCAAAAATTCAATCTCCGGTTGAACCCGAAGAAATGCACCTTCGGCGTGCAAGGAGGCAAGTTTCTAGGCTACATGGTAATCCGAAGAGGTATTGAGGCAAACCTGAGAAAATCCAGGCCATCATCAACATGGAGCCTCCACGCAACGTCAAAGAAGTCCAAAGGTTGACGGGTCGCCTGGAAGCCCTCAATCACCTTCTTTCTAAGTCAGCAGAAAAGGCCCTTCCCTTCTTCTAGATCATGAGAAAGACAACTGGCTTCCAATGGGCAACGGAGTGTCAAAAAGCCTTTGAAGAATTGTAACAATACCTGTCTTCACCCCCTGTGCTCTCCAAGCCCAAGGTGGGGGAAACATTATATCTTGATCTTGGCGTTAGCCCTGCGGCCATCAGCTAAATTCTACTCCGGTAGGAAGACGGCATCCAACATGCCATCTTCTATGTCAGCAAAACCCTCAGGGAGGCAGAACTCAGGTATTCTCCCGTGGAGAAGACGGTACTAGCTATCGTTTGGACCATCAAGAAGCTGAGCCATTACTTCCAAGCCCATCTTGTCCAGGTCCTCACGCACCAGCCCCTCGGCGCATTGATGAGGAGTCTCACCAACTCGTCCCGAATGGTAAAATGGGCCATCTTCCTGAGCCAATACAACATTGAAATCCATCTGAGGCCTGCCATCAAGGGCCAAGCCATGACAGATTTTGTGACGGAATGCACGGCAAGGTCAGCTGAGGTAGAAGGGCCCTCGACATAGGGGGATGAATGGTGGACCCTCTACACAGACGGGTCCTCGGCAACAAAAGCATGCGGAGGGGGCGTAGTCCTCATCACGCCCGAAGGCTTCCGCGCCTACTACGCCATCCGCTTCTCCTTCAAATTTTCCAATAACGAAGCGGAGTATGAGGCCCTTCTTTGTGGCATTTGGCTGGCAGCCAACCTCAAAGCAAGGATGATCCACGTGAAGTGTGATTCTAAGCTAGTAGTTGGCCAGATCTATGGCGAATATGAGGTGAAGGAAGGAAGAATCAGTACAGGGAAGCGGCCAAGGAATTGCTCAATGTATTTGAGGCTCACTCCATCACTCAAATACCGAGGGCTCAAAATTCTGAGGCCGACATCTTATCCAAACTCTCGGATGAGTCTCCGGAGCACCTCTCCAAGATCGCGAGGATAGAGGAACTCAGCCTCTCAAGCATACATGCCAGCCCCATCATGGACATACAACAAGGACCGGAAGACTGGATCTCGGATATCGGCAACTACATCACCACAGGGAAACTGCGCGATGAAGAAGGCCGCCAAAAATTACCCAAGCTGAGGGCTCCCAGCTATACATTCAAAAATGGAAGGCTTTACAAACGATCCTACAACGGAACGTTACTCTGGTGCCTTCATCGGGATGAAACCGAAGTTGCAATGGAGGAAGTGCACTATAGCACCTGCTCAACTCACTAGGGACCTTCTCTATGTCTCGAAGGCTTATAGCCCAAGGCTACATCTGGCCTACAATGGCCCGGGATTGTGCCAATCTCGCACAAGGTGCGCCGCCTGTCTACACTGCCAGAAGGCTCCCGGGAGGCCAGCGGTTAAGTACGCCCCCATCAGCGCAGCAATACCCTTCTCCAGATGGGGCATCGACCTAGTAGGCCCATTGCCGAGGGGCACCTCTAACAACATGTACATCATCGTGGCTATAGACTACTTCACCAAATGGGTGGAGGCGGAGCCCCTCGCCAGCATTATCGAGGCTAGGTGCCGCCATTTTGTTCTCAAAAGCATCCTCACAAGGTTCGGCGTCCCTCAACAAATCATCTCCGACAATGGTACTCAATTTGAGGCAGCCCCCTTCTGCGCCCTCCTGGAGGCATGGGACATCAAGCACACCTTCTCATCAGTTGCCTACCCCAAGGCAATGGCCAAGTCGAGAACGCCAACCGCACAATACTGGAGGGCTTAAAGAAGAAACTAGAGGCTGAAGGGGGAGGCTGGGTCGAAGAGCTTCACAACATCCTATGGGCCTACCGCACCACCCTTAGGAGGGCAACTGGTGAAACACCTTTTTCCCTGTGCTATGGATTTGAGGCTAAAGCTCCCACTGAAGAAACTCTCCCTACCCGAAGGGTGGATCAGTACGAGCCCGAGGTCAACGACGCCAACATGACCCTCGACCTCCATCTCATCTCATAACGAAGGGAACAAGCCTTCCTAAGAGCGGAGAACTATCAGAGGCAAGTAAAAAGCTACATTGATGCAAAGGTTGATTCCCGGGAATTCCAAGTGGGGGACTACGTCCTTAGAAGAAGGGAAGCCAGCCAACCCACCGAGGGTGGGAAGCTAGCACCTAAGTTCGAGGACCCCTGCATTGTAGCAGCCATCATCAATCCAGGAACTTACAAGCTAAGGCGCCTCAATGGGACCGAGATCCGTAGGCATTGGAATGTACACCACCTAGTCAAAATCTATCAGTAACATATGAGTGGCCAAGCCCTCATAGCACACGAATGTACTTATCCAACGGCCCAATGCCCCCTCTTTTTCAAGAATAAACACATTTTGAGACACCAAGTGCAGAATGTATATGAGCGGCCAAGCCCTCGGACAAGCCCCCGGCCCAAGGCCTTCTCCCATAAAAAAAAGAAAAATTGGGAGAAAAAACACTAAGTGTTTTTTACATGGAAATGAGCCCTCGGTACCAAGTACCAGGGGCAGAGTATGAAGCATAACACCAAGTGTTTCCTAAAACACCCACAACATTACGCTGGAGACAAAGTCGTTCCCCTCGAGGATGCCCTGATACCGAAGGCTACACCTATCTGTTCCGGAAGTGCCAAGTGCCCCCGGCCATTTGCAACTAATATGCAAATAAAACTCTTTATTGAAACGCTTTCCGAGCCATTACCCCAAGGGAATGGCAGGCAACGGACTATGTCCCGGGCCCTGGATTCGTCTTTCATAACCGAAATGCTTCTCGTGTTATCTCCCAAGGAGAAACAGGTAACATACTATGTCTCGGGCTGAGGGAACGACTTTCAAAATCGAGATGCTTTCCGTGCCATCCCCCAAGGGCAGGCAGGTAACAGACTATGTCTCAGGCCGAGGAAACGACTCTCAAAACCCTCGGAACCCGGAAGGTTAACACCGAGGGGGGAGCCAACGGTTTACACTGTTGCCTCTTGACAGGCCAAGCCTTACCAAGGAACCAAGTTTCTTGAAGCATTCCCTCCACTATCCAAAAAAAATAGGGGGAAGGGGAGTAGACTCAACAAGCAATCAATGAGTAAAAGTATTACGGTCCATAATGAAACACCCTTCGGCAACAAACCAGGGGGTTTCTTTCCCAAAGACCAGAAGTTCTCCTTTGATTATTGGACCCTATTCCAAAGGCTCCTATGCAACAGGTGTTGCTAAAATTAGCTAAGTCCACACTTTGGAAGCCTCCGACACACTCACTCACACCGGGGGCTGAGGCCCTCTCAGCAGTCTCAGCAGCTATCATAACAGCCTCCCCAGTAATGGCTTTGCCTTTGGCCTCAGCAGCCTCCAGCCTTGGGCCCATGCTAGCCTCCGCCTCCGCCAGTTTCTTCCGAAGGGAGGCATTCTCCTTATCGGATTTCCTCAAAGCCTCATCAACTGCGGCCTTGTCTTTCATTATCTGATCCACCCTCCGAATCTGCTCACAGAGGCCCATTAAGGTCTGCAACAGCAAAGGCACGAAGAGTCAGGCATATTACATACATTACACAGTAAGAACGAATAAAGGTAAGAACAAAGAAGAAACTTACCGAGGCGTTGTTCAGGAGGATCTTAGAGTTGAGGGCTTCATTGTCCAACCGGGTAAGGGCCACCCTATCGCCCGAAGGCATTACCTGGTTCATGAGCACCAAGGGGCTTAGAGTAGCTTCCAGAACAGAGCTGTCCCTTGGTACGACTGCCTCCAGCTTCTCCCGGCCGAAGAAGTCTTCATTCACGAATTCTTGAGGCATGGGGCTGGAGGCACCCCTCTTCCACGACTATCACCTCATTAGAGGCAGGTTGCTTGCCGGAATCGGCCACCTCATGCTTCTTTGCCGGGGGATCAACCCCCTTTCCGGCCTTCTTCTTCTTCAAGGCCACTACGGCCTGAGATCCCCTGGTCTCACCACCGGCAGCTGCGGAGGGCTCCTCACCCCCCTTTGGAAGAAGGCATCAACGGGCTTCTGCTTGCCCGACTCTTTCTGATCCTTCGCCTTCTGCTTCTTTAGTGCATAAAGGGACTTCACATCCATGTTAGCGTCTGCAAAACAGCAAGGATAAATTAAACTGAGGGGTCAGATACGAAGGCAATAATGAAATGATGCAGGAGGGGGTATTTCTTGTCCTTTCCCCCAGGAAACGAATGCAAACATTTCTCTAAGTACAACAATATAGAGCCTTCGGGAACAACCTCCAGTGCCCTCGAAGGAGCGATCAAGGAGGGGGTATTTCTTGTCCTTTCCCCCAGGAAACGGTAACGCTGGAAGCCCAAATTATAAAGATCCTCCAAGAGGGTAGAGTCCTTGATTGTGGCCAGCTTGGTTGACCCCTCCGGGAATGCTGATATCTTCCTACCATCTTTCTCGAGGGCAGCGCTCTCCACCTTCGGATGGTGCCTGAAATGGTTCCGCAGCTCCCCCGAGAATGGATTCTCCTCCATCTTGATGTAGCAGAAGCGGTCCTTCCAGCCTTTATGAGACGAGGGCACATCAGAGAATAGCCTCCACTGGGGGACCTGTTGCAAATTCGCAAACCCATCGACGGTTGTATGACCTCCTTGGCCAATGTTGAAGCTTTGAAAGAACAGATCGAGGTTAGGAGTTGCCCCCCGGGACCGGCAGAGGTGCAAGAAGCCGGCTATATACGAATGGTTGTTTGGGGTTAGCTGGCAAGGGGCCAAACCAACGTACCTGAGATACTCCCGGACAAAAGGATGTAATGGAAACCGAAGGCCCATTGAAATAGAGAGGACGTGGACTGCGAAGCACCCCTCTGGAGCATGGGATATCACCTCATTGGGACCCGGCTCTATCACCGTCGCTGAGGGCCCAATGTCAAGCTGAGTAATATAACACTCTGCGCGGTCAGCCTTTGACTTTAGCGTAAGGTTCGCAGTGTTCAAGTACGAATGCCCCTCTGGTATCCCCACAAGTTTTCCATGGTCTGCTGCATTCCTCTTCTTCCCAGGAGCTACTTTCACCCTCTTTGTTTTCTTCAGAGGTGCATCTCGAAGGGGATCCAAGCTTAGGGGGCGTGAAGTTCTTGCCCCACTAGCGATAGCCGAGGGGATAACCACATTCACCAGATGGCGTTCTCTCTCCTCCTCTTCTTCGTCCGTTTGAACGGCGAGGGCCAGCTCCTCGTCCTCGTTCACTTGTTAAAAATCCTCGGCCCCGGCTTCGGCTATGAGGTCCATTTGCACCTCCTGTGCTAAGGCAGAATCGTCATGAGACGAGGCCTCCTCACTTGCTGACCTCTCATCCGACCAAGTCTCGGATTGCACCGAAGGCTCTCGGGAAATATCTTGTGAATCGCTGGCAGATGAAGAAAGAAGTAGAAGGAAGCAGGGTCCTAAGGGACTAACACTAGATCTGACGCTCGCTAAGCAAAATACGACTAAAGTCTCAAGAACGAAGGAAGAACTGACCTTGAAAATGCGGGTTTGATCGATCTAAGGGCTTTATCTCTCTAGAAATTTTGGCAGAGCTTTGCTTCAATTATGATCGCACAATGGAAATGGGTTCAGGCCTGAGGTATTTATAGCCTTCCCAACCATGGTTAAGACCTGAGTTTGGGCCTCGGGTTAAAAACCCATCATTACAAACCGTCGCCTCAGCCAACCGGTGACACCCGCTTGTAACAAGCCAACCAGGATACGCCACATAGACGTCATCTCCAATGGTAATATCCCAACGACTATTTTTGAAAAGCGTGAGGTGCCCTCAACTGGCACCCTTCAAACAACAGCAGAGCAAGCCCTCGGGCTATCACATTCAACACACTCCCTCTAGATTTAACCCTCAATACATGGAGGCCTAGGGGACTGCCCTCGGTACTTACCTCCATCAGATCATAAACAGCCCTCGGCCTCTCAGAGCTACTCTCCACAGATTATGAATGGCCCTCAGCACCAGCGTACCCTTCATCTGAGACCGAAGGGTTCACCTTTTGACTTCATTTTGGGGGCATCCGGTGTATTCTTTTTCCCTCATTAGGATTTTTTCCCACATGGTTTTTCCCAATGAGATTTTTAACGAGGCATCTCCCAAATATGAAGCAAAAGGCATCAGCCCTCGGCCCTCTACTGAAGACTGGCATTACTCTACTCCTTTTCACCCCATTACATGTGCCTCAAGGAGTGGGGGACTGGAGAACCCCTCCGGGAAAATCACAAAAACCATCAGTCCCAAAACCTGGGGGATTGAGGGACTGTCCTTAGAAAAAGACACAGACACAAATGTTTCACTACTCTACAAACTACAAACAAAGCAGCCGCCAACAACTTCACAACATATACTCCTATTTCCCTCGACAAGCTCTCGACAAAAGGAGTGGGGGACTCCTGATGGAGTATATGGCCCAGGGCCCCCGGCCCCCGGCCCACAGACTCCTACTTCTCCTACACAGGCCCATCAAGCCCGATGAGCACGCAAAGTCCAAACGTAGCAGCCCAAGCATAAAGAAGCCCACGGTGCACACGTGGAGGCCTTCGGCCCTATGGTCGAGGGCCCCAAATTCTAGGAGACAACGTGGCGTGGACCTGCAAAGCTTCTGGGAAGTTCTAGCAAAAATGTTAGCCTTTGGTTATTTCATGCCCTCGACTGTACATAGCCTTCGGCTATATGGTGCCTTCAGCTATATGATGCCTTCGGCCACACCTCGGCCTTCGGCATACAGCAGACTCGACGAAGATTCCTTTTAGAGACAGCCAACCACCGCATTTAATGCGGTGTCACGTTCAACCACCGCATTTAATGTGGTGCACATGCTAATGTCGATGCCACCCTGATTGAGATGACCCTCGACCGTTAGATGTTTGACACGTGTCCTTGCCTAGCATTTATGGCTACTATAAATAGCGGCCATTTTCCATTGTAATAGACACAACTTATATATCGAATACCTACTCTCTCTCTTACTTATTGCTCTGACTTCTCTCTAAGTTATTCACTGTAATAACCCCTCGGATAAGCTACCCCCGGGTACACTATCCATCAGTCTGATAAGCCGAAAAACAGTGTTGTCAAACACCCTCTTATTGCATCACTTTTGTTGTCCAATTCAACAATTAACACAGACATGTATATCTTAAATCTTTCCGGTAGAAACTCTTGCCGGAAACTATGACCGACTGTTGAGGCTATGTTTTTTATGAAAGGTGCGAAAAGGTACGAAGACAATGTAAGGTTAGGGTATCTTAGGAATAATAAAATATTTTGATTATCGGTGGCTGTATCTAGCAAACCCGTGTGTGTAAATAGAATTCCCCGTTCACTATATATGGAGACATATAGGCATTTTTTTTTATTATTATCGATATAGCATATGTGATCGTCCACTATAAAAATTAATGGTTGATACGAGACTATATGACTTCATGGTGCAATCATATATGTTTTGGATTCTTCTCCTTACTATTCAATAGCAAGGTGGTCTCTGATGGGCCAACCCAATCCTTTGATTACACAAACTTTAGTTGTTGTTTCGTTTTGTCAATCCATTAATAGTACGTGGATCATCCGATACGTTGTTCATTGCTAGCTCTCAATAATACGCCACTTCGTACGTGTGGATTACCTAATTGATCCGTTCTTCAATTATCTTTCAAATATTTTAGTTGGTCTCAAATCAATTCCTTCTTTCCATCTTTACTAGAGTTTGTGTCTAGCAATATCTCTAACACATTTTTACACATTTCTTTAATCCATGTACAAAATTTCATTTGAAATATAATTTAGGGATAAATGTAGAAGTATATTAGGATGTGAATTTTAATTTAGGTGTCCACTATCGCAAAAATATGGCCTTAAATGAGGGTGGATAAATCGGTTTGATTTGATCGAAGCGAATCATATCAAACCAAACTAAAATATACTTGATATGTAATAAATCAAATTGATCGAACAAAAGAATATCTAATTAAAATATTCAATTTAATCTTAATATATTTTAAAAAATAACAAATTCTAATCGAGACAAATAAATTTAAACAAAGAGTATGGAATATAGTGTTTCTTTTGTATCTATCTTCCAACTCGATTCAAACCGAACTGAAAACCATAAAAATGAATCAATCCCGATAAACATACATAAATATACAAACAAATAATCCTTTATTCATCAATTTACAAAAAAATTGTTTGGTAATCCATCATTTCCCATTTCAAGGGATCACTTGAACACAATTCTCTACAAGCCAATACCAATCTTCTGGACCATCTCTTGTTTGATTCCTCATAAATGACACTACCTCTTTGCCTTAAAACTCAACCGAATATGATCGACACATAGATTAATAAAGTAAAAACTACGTAGTATGTGATTAATGTTTGTGTAGAAGAGAAAGAATTGATTGTAGCCATAGATTCTTTACTTAAATGAAAATAACAAAATTAGTGGGACAATCAAAAAGGAAAATTGATAAAGTTTTAATGCACGAAGTATTGAGTGTGTAAAAAAAAGAGAGTGTTAGTCTAGATTGATGAATATTCCGCCCGTCTAACTTGATCGTGAGTTAAAAATTGAGTTTAGTGATCCAAATTTTTTAGTTGTTAGCATTAAATGTTAGTTTCAACCATTGGATCATTAAAAAAGATAAACTTTAGGATGGCTTTAGTTGATCTGTTTTCGGTCCCAAATCAGACAAGACCAGACCAGATAAGAATTGAACATTTATAAAATACATAGAGATCAGACGTTTACTAGACTAGACCAGACAAGATTAGACCAGGTCGAACCAGACCCGAAAATTCCAGTCCAAGTAAAAACATTTTTAGCAAGTTTAAACTTCTTATGATTAAATAGGGGGAATTACCCAAAATAGGAGCAAATGACACTTGAATTCTAAAAATAGGACTAATATGTTTTTCTTCCCGAAATAGGAGTTATTACTGTCATTATTGAAAAATACTGTCATTAATTATAACGAATACTATCATGTTCATTGTACTGCAACTATTTGACAGTCACGACTACAAGATGACAGTAAATACTGTCATGTTAATCCCATTTCGGAAATAAAAACGAAATAGTCCTATTTTGGAATTTCAAACTTCATTTACTTTTTGAGAAATCTCCCATTAAATAGTCTTAATCGTTAGATAATTATTTGAATTAAAAAAGCGTGTTAATTGGATTTATCATAGAACAAATAAAATTTAAGATGTAACGGACAAAACTAATTGTGAATATTAATGAGCGAAAAATTTTACATCATCAACATATTTCTATGAGTTGTAAAATGAATCTAGACTAAAGGAAGCAAAACAACTAATTTTGCGTATTTTAGCATGGAAACTCTCGAGTAAGATTATGTTCCCATTTCCTATACTCAGTGAAAAGTCTAAGTTACAAGTATAGTATGGTTTGTACTGAATATTCTTGTTTTGAGGTACATATGGTAAACTGGCATGCTTGAAAATATTGTTGAAAATCTTACTTAGTTTCCATAAAAGTGTTCATTAAGTTTTATCGTTCAAATATTGTAGGTCAAATATATTTCCTCTAATAAAAGTTACTTAGAACTAATGTTTTCTACCGTGATTTATTCTAAACGTCTAGTAGCTAGAGTTTGCTTAGGTATAAATCTGATCTATTTTACTTGATTTCACACTCCTTATTCGGTGCTTTTACGTGTGATTTGATTTGGTTAGTTTTGATAGGATACGACATGATCCGGTCTTTTAAAACTAATACTAACTCCGTCCTATAAAATAGTACTCATTTCAATTTGGATCGGAATTTAAGAAAGTGAGAATAAAGTTGAAATGTATGATTGTGATTTAGTAAGAAAAAGGTAAATTAATATTAGCCAGACAAAACTTTGCAAAAAGGGAAATGGGAACATTTTTTTGGGACGGTCCAAAAAGGAAAGTAAGAACTATTTATGGGACGGAGGGAGTACTTCGTATATATATTAAGTTGCTAATAAAATTTAGTTTGAATGAGAAATAAATTCAAGTGAGTATAAGAAACCATGAACTAATTATTTTGTTTATTCTTATCATCAACCTTAAAAGCAAATTGAATGATTTGTTTTGAGGATTGATCTGGACTCCTCCTCTTATAAGATTGATCTTTTAGGATGAAACCCTGAATCTTAACTTGATATCAGAGCCAGTTCGATCCATGGTGTGTGCACCTTTATGAAAAATAATTGATACGATTATAAAAATGATAATAACGAATCGATGAAAAGAATGAATGGTGACATGATCCAGACGAGTGTCTAGTCGTGAGAAAAGGTGTAGAATTCCCACACAAGATACTTGTCAAGGAGTGCTATATTAGGATCTAGATTACTCCACTTATCAGGTTTACCTTTTAGGATGAAACCTCATATCTTAATAATTTAAAATTAATTAAAAAAAAACTCATTTGAATTTAGGATAATCGTGAATGACCTTATGTGAATACTAATCAATGATTACAACAAATGAAAAGTTGAAATTAAAAATTCTCTTTATAAAGAGTTCTTAATTTAGGAGCACCCCTAGATCAATCCTACGTGGAAATCAACGGTGAACTATAGAACCTGTTATGTGCTTTATTCTTTAAGAAAATAGTCGATATAAAACACTTCGGTATAAGATTTTTTTATAAATACGATCTTGATTTTTTTGAGGTATTACACAATGAAACAAAAGTGGATATATTTACTTTAGGAAAAGTGGCATTTACCCACCTCTTATTTATGCTACTATTTGACTTTGCATTTGTGATACGTAGTAATAGTTATGTTAAATTAGAAATTACGGTGTATTTTGAAAACTCTTATTCTGTTATAAACACTTCAACCAGGGCTTCTATTGGAGCACTACTTCCCATTATTTTACACGGTATCAAGAGTCAAATCCTATTTTTTTCGGTTCTCATCTTCTCTCTTTTGTCCGAGCCGCTGCACCATGGCCTTGGAATCCGCCGCTGCAGCCTCGTCCATGGCGCCGGTATCCACCACAGAACCGATCGAGAATTCTTGTGTATTTTGGAAACTCTTATTCTGTGTTAAATACACCTGTCAGGGCTCTTATTGGGGCACTGCTTTCCCATTATTTCACACGTAGTACTTTGGAGTAGGAGCATAACAAAGACTTGTATTAAAATTGTTGAGGTATATTATCTCGGTCTGTTAGTGTTCAGAAGCCCAAGGCCTCGCCCCAGTACAAAGCCCGAACTACGAGGCCCCTTTCAACCTATCAGGCATGGTTCAGCCCTTTGGCCCATTTTATTCCACTTGGCCCATTAGGGTAGGCTTTCCCCCACCCCCATTTCCTATAAATAGGAGGTTTTCCCTCCATGTTAAGGGTTAGTCTCTTTTCCCCATTTCCCCCCTCTCTCTAGATTAGCTAGCTCAAAATACTCTATTAACGGGAGCTTCATACTTGTACTAAAAGGGTGAGGAGAGCCTAATGAGAATAAGAGTGGCTTGGACATTAGCCCGAAAAGTCCCGTGGTTTTCTCCCTTTCGAGTTTCCACGTAAAAATAGCTTGTTCATACATATTTATATCTATATTAATTATATCGTGTTGGATTAAACTCAACAAAAATAAATAAGAGGGTGTTTGGAACTGATTCTTAAAATTGTTTCTGCTCCTCCAAGGAGCAGAAGCAGAAGTAATTGGAATGTTTGGGTAAAAGTGCGGAAGTGATACTGGTGCTCTAATTTACTCCTAGAATCAGTTTAATTAGAAGATGGGGGTGACCAGCTTCTGAAAACTGATTCTGACTTTGCTTTAAAAAAGAAGCAGAAGCATAACCAGTTCCAAACACCACCTAATAAGAGGGTGTTTGGATCTAATTCTTAAAACTGCCGCCATCCTATCCCAACTCCCTACCCTTCTCACTACCCCCACCCTTACCCCTAACCACCATTCTAATCCACCCACTACCCCACCCAACCCGTACCTCTAGACCTTACCACCCCACCCCCACCCACCCCCACCTTCCTTCCCCACCTTGACCCCTACGAGTAGGTATGGGTGGGTATGAAGGGTTTTAAGGGAGTATGTGTAGAGTGTAAGATCGTGGTAAGGGTAGGGGTAGGGGTCAAGGGTGTGGAATTGAGTGTAGGGTGGGGGTACGAGGTATATGGGCAGGATAGAGATTAGGAGTATGGGTACACGTACGAGGTGATCGACCCCACATATTATATTACACATTTGTTTTCATGAATGTTTGTGTGTCTATATATGTACAGAGTTATTTTGGACATTTTAATGTTAAACGGTGTTTTAAACCTTTTGATGTAAACATGATCTTATAACATTGCTTTTTATGCGTCGCTTATTGACGTGAATCTTAATAAGCACCGTTTAGTAACTTGTGAAGTAAACGTGTCAGTCTTCTGGATGATCAGAGAATTGGGTGAAAAAATTGATGAACATGTTTTTAGATTTGAAAATGAAAAACTAGAAAATAAACACAGAAATCTGGAGATAGAAAAATTGAAAAAGAAAAACAGAATCTTGGAGAACGAAAAACATAAGTAGAAAATAGGAAAATATCTCAGTTAGTAAAGAGCCCCTAAATGTCCCATTTGCTTGTCATCATCATATCGTGAACTAATCTAAACAACACATTAATTGTTCACTTCTCGAGTTACTAGATTAAACTTAAAATTTATGTTTATGTTTATTCTATCAAGAAGCACGGATAAATCCAGCACATATGCTCTCAGTGCACAGAGGATTAGGTTAATCACTTATTATGCAGACTTTAAACAAGTATGACAACAATCTTTTTTCTTTCATTCTCCATTTCATCCCACATTAGATCAGATAATGTATTCGTGACATATTATTTTCGAAAATCAACAACAACAACAAAACTAACAATTTATCCTGAAAGCCATCATAAGTTGCACGACTAGGAGAATCGTCAATCAATTATTCTTAAGTCCATATTATACGTAGTCCTTTGAAAAACATAATCTCATGAATTGTGCAGACAATTAATTAACATCCTCTTTTGATCTTAAATCTTACACCCACACCCACACTAGCTACAAATAACCTTTGAATTGAATTGGTTGTGGCTATTGAATGCGTGTTTTTCTTAGATATCATCATTGAAATATAATTTATGAAATATTACTATATAATAACTTTATATATAGTCACTATCTATTATCACTATGGTGTAAGTTGAACCCAATTAATGATAACCAAAATTACTGTGATAGTTACTAAAGTATAAAAAAACTACACTTTTGTCAACTACATTTATTTCAGCCATATACCAGGTATTATTTATACACTAAAGATTGGTGTGTATTTTGGCCGGACAATTGTTTGCAAAAATAATGATCGCTTTTAAATGGTAACTAATAAACCCGCCATGAGTTGCATCGTTAATTGGTTATTATTGATTCATCTATTTGTGGTCATTTCAGACCGTTTCATGAAATTTTGTGTTTCATATTTACATACTTCTGCAACAAATAACATTGAGGGAAAGTTCCCGAAATAGGACTAAAACAATTTCAAAATTCCAAAATAGAAGTGTCATATTTTTTATTCCCAAAATAGAAACAATTACTGAGAAGTTTAGAAAATACTGCCATGTTTGATGTCTGGTACTGCCAAAACATTACAGTAGTTAGTCCTATTTTGGGAATAAAAACATGACGGTCCTATTTTAGAATTTTCAAACTTTTTTAGTCCTATTTCGGATAATATTCTATAACATTACACTTACGTTTTAAATGGCCATTTGTTATTAGCATAATAAGTTAGCCATTCAGTTAATTACAACTTCTTGTTATAGATCTTAAGTAAACAATATAACATTCTTTAAAAAAAACTTAAACAACATACCTCTTTTATTGAAATAATATACATATGAGGACGGAATAAGGCTAACTATTACCTCAAGGTTGTTATGATCGAGCACATGCATCGGCCTCAAGTACCATTTAAGCAGATGTAATTCCTGTAAAATACTTCGTAAATCACAATCAGCTGAAAAAAGACACCAGAATTAGATTCAATATTCGTTTAAGTACATCCTAGCTACAGAAATGAAGATGGAGTGAATCACCTGGCCGGCCGGGACCTATACCTTATATTACTAATTAATAGTTCTATATAAATAGATCTGGAAATGGAGTATATCTTGCTATAGTCATACTTTGGTACAGTATATATAGACTTGCAGATCTGATTTCATACCCGTTACCCTAGAAAATTAAACCTGCAATAATATAATACGGAGTAGGAGTATTACCCGAACGTACTGGAAAAGCAACAGTTAATACAGTCTGACCCAGATTCAACAACTCCTTTCCATTTGTGGAAATGCCCAAAAGAGAAAGAAAAATCTCAAAATCCTCAAAGAAAAATCATACCAACTTTCAAAAGTACCAAAAAGTTTGACAGATCGAGTACTTGAATAAAGATAGTAACGATGGAATAAGCTAAGGCGAGGAGAGGAGTGGGAGAGAAGGTGCATGATGGCAGAAGGTAGAGAGCACAAATGAATTGAAATGCTTTTCCAGGCCAATCTTCAGACCGAACCTATTGTTTTCTTTGCTGTTTCAAGTTTCATTAGCAGCACTTCATCATATGTGCTCTCTATCTTCTGTCAACAATACCACCACAAACTGACCCGCTCGATCTCTCCCCAGGCCAGGCCATTTTTACTAGATCTATACCCTGATATATCATATATGTATATGCACACTGTATAAGCTAGGCTAAGCTGATTACAACACCCACATCTTGCGTGCTGTAACCAACTCTGGTTTCAGACCTAAGCTGGTTTGCAGGTGAGTGTGTATTTATGGCCCGCTTTCAGAGAGAGATTTAGGGAGGACAGCGTTGCATTGCAGATTAGCTGGTGTGGGTTCTATATATAGTACCAAAAGATAGTGTCCGTAGACTAAAAGAATCAGATTTCCATGTTCCATGTAAAAAAACGTACCACCACCACTTGCTCCTATCCCCTGTTCCCATGCACGGTGGATCTAAAATTGTGCTGGGTACTTGCCTTTTGACTCGGCACGGATATCAAGACAATTCAAACCGTATAATAATTGTGATTTATTTGCAAGCTTTAATGCTCAGCCTACTTGTACGCATTTTTTGTATATTTATATTTGTTGTACATATTGCCTAGTTGCTTTCTGCAAACACGAACTTTTGAACGAGGTTCATGTGTAAAAAGTAAAGGTATCTAATCTTTCAAAGTATTCTTCTTGCCAAACAAGGGCGTCAAAGTAACCACACTGAAGTGGGAATACTTCAAGCATGCTCCGTGAAAAGGCTAGTCATCAGGTAGTAAGGAAGTGCATCTGGGGTGATAAGGACACTACACTTAAAGAAGACGAGACCTTCTTAAGTGCCAGAGATCTAAGTGTTGTAACAAGTTTTTACAGATTTAGTGGACCATTGGACTAAAGGAACACGTTATTCTTTGAACCACTATAAAAATATATGATGTCATTTACTTACTGTTTGTAGTTCTTGCACTTAGGATTCTAATTGCCTCGCTCTAAAGTGCACAATATTTGTGTTCAGCAGAATATGTGTCAAGAGAAAAATAAAGGCTTTTTGCCTTTAGTGTGTTTTGTAAGCTACCCGACCATAACTACCATTTCCGTTGCAAACCTGTTCGGTCCAGAACAACGCAAGTTCTATGAGATAGACAACTTCTGTCTCGCAAGAAAAGAGAAACCAAGAACAATCTATTACCCCCCATTTAAACTGGTCTCTGATAAATTGAGATCAACAAGTGGTATCCGAGCTTCCTTGTTCTAGTAATCTCTTAGATTATCCTTCGAACAAAGATCCACTTGTTTATTGTATTTAATATTATTTTTCTTTATCATGGATAACCCACTTTCCAAGAATCTTATGTTCTCAGTACTAAAATTCAATGACTGGAATACGTATGCAAGCACATCTTTGTGCCCTACGTAATGAAATGGGGAAGTTCCGTCCAACGGACCAGCAGAGGTCATGAAAGCAAACACAACTTATGTGTCTGGAGACTACGTAGCACAGATACTTCAATAGGTTACCGTATCAACGTATCGAAAATGTTTCTGTATCTGATACTCTAGGATACTCGTACCGTACGTTCCCAGGTCGTATCTGTAATTTTTAAAAGTTTTCCTTTTTTGGTAATTATTTTAAAATTTTGGATACTCGTATCATGGCGGATGCACGTATCAACTTTTAAAAAAACCAAAATTTACATAAAAATATTCTTAAATAATGAAAAACTACAAATAAATTTTATGTGGTGCACATCTAATAGGCCTATCACTAATTCACTCATCTGGTCTATCCCTAATTCACTTACGTAAGGCAGCGGACAAGTGACACGCAGAACAAACAAGAACACAACGAGCAAGCATCGCACCGAGCAAGTCATATGCGAACCAACAATCCACTCTGTATCTTTTGTTTTCTATCTTCATTTCCCAAGAACTTTGGGTACTTTCACTTTTAATTTCAAAATTGTGATTGTTTCACTTGTTTCTTATTTTAAATTAATGACTGTTTGACTATATTTATATTTCGAGTTGTACTAGTGTATATGAGATAATGTATGAATTTATTTCTAAGTATCTTGATAGCGTAAATTGCTTCAATGTCATGAATGCGTAGAGGTCAGAAGATAATATATTTCTATATATTCAAAAAATATTGTAGTTTTATATATTTATAAATACACCCCATAAGTTTTAATATTTATAAACACACCCCCATAACTTTTAAGATTTATAAATATACTCCCGTATCTGTATCCTACGTTTTTTTGATTTTGTCGTATCCTTGTACCCGTTTCCGTGTTTCCACATACCCACATACTCGTTTCCGCGTTTCCGCGTTTACTTGGATCATCTTCTTGAAGCAAAAGAATGAAACCCCAAAGAACTTCCAATGAGGTAGTGGGCAGAAACAATTAACATTGCATGTTATACTCATAACAGAAGCATCATTCACAAAGTTCACCAGCCTAGAAGACTCCATATGAATGTGGAAAGGTTGAAAAACAAATATTAGTTATATTCACATTTTTTGATGCAAATGCTACCTCCTAAACAATGGGAAAGACCGTCTTAAAGTCTTTCAAGAAAAATCAGATGAAGGATTATTTGAGCGATATTCTAATACAAGCAAGGCCTACAAACTTCTCAACAAAAGATCTATGGTGGTAGAAGTTTGTGGACTTGATTTTTTGAGGACCAGTTTTAACCTATTTACTAAAGTGAGTTCTTTTACTCCATTATCCCTGGGAGTTATTACAGCCGCACAACAATTATTGTGCCCCTTTCATTATTACGAACCTCGAAACCGCAAATATCAAATCAAATGTCTCCCACCCAAATCCATATATACCTTGCCTCAATATTTTTAACAATTACGCTCTATTCTCTCTCTAAGTACTAAAGCAACTTCATATCTTCCATAACTTCCGAACTCTCAAAAGTTTCTCAAAACCTAGGAATGACTTTCATCAACATTTCTGACCTCATGGAGCAAGAAGCCCAACAATTAACTAAGTGCATCGTCATCGGCATGAGGTGCGACCTCTCCGCCCTCCCGGAGCTGGCTAAAAACGCCAACAAAATGGCAAGAATCCCCAGAATCCCTATCCCATCATCCACCCGGCGGATCGCGAAACATGTCATCTGGGTTTGAAAATATTTTTATCCAAGAATGCATATGCTTTAGGGAAGCTCAAACTCACGTTGTCCTGTCAAAATGGATCGTCACTGTTAGATTGGGGAAGGACGCATTCAGAGGATGTATGAAACAAAGTGAATCCCATCCCGCCATTTGAAAGTCGGGGACATGTTTTTGCACCTCAAGATAAAACGCGTCAAATGGTGTTTACTTGGACCATCTTCTTGAAGAAAAAGAATGAAACCCCAAAGAACTTCCAATGAGGTACTACTCAGAACAGAACCATCATTCACAAAGTTGACCAGCCTAGAAGACTCCATATGAATGTGGAAAGGGTGAAAACCAAATATTAGTTATGTTCACATTTTTGGATGCAAATGTTACATCCTAAACAATGGGAAAGAACGTTTAAAGTCTTTCAAGAAAAAGTAGATGAAGACTGAGTGATGCATCTGTTAGACGACTTGAGGTGTGGGGAGAAGACACAAAGAGGAGAGGGAGGGGAAGATCCAAACAAACTTGGATTGAAGGAATCAGAACGAATATGTGTCTTCTTGGGTTGGATGAGAGCATGACTTTGGAGAGAACAAAGTGGAGGATGTACATTCGTATGGACAATTGATCTCTTTTTTATCTTTCCTCTCTCTTTTTCTTTTATCGTTTATCTTCTAAATCTTTTAATGTTCTTATGTTATTTTTATCGTCTAGCTTTTTTATGCTCTTTTATCTTTTTATCTTTTATCTTTCTTATATTCTTATGTTATTGTTGTCTTATATTTATTTATCTTTATCTTATATGTTTTATCTTACTTTTCTTCTTCTTCTTCTTCTTCTTGTGTGTCTTCTCTTTTTGACATCGATATCATGGGTCGATTCATGTTAGCCAACCCCAATATCTTTTGAGATTAAAGCTTGGATGTTGCTGCTGCTTTGTTTGGAGGCTAATTTCAACAAGCATCAATAAGGGTTTATTTGATCTTTGATTTTATGGTTTCTATTTGATCTACAATTGTCACAAGTTTACTACATCATCCTTAGAATTTGTATGATTTGTTTAGTTACTTTTCTTGTTTGTGAAGTTGAGTATCCTAATCTGATTGAAAATAGAAGAACTAATATAAGGACCCTAATATATATATATATATATATATATATATATATATATATATATTAGAGATCAAATATAAACTAGGCTTAATTTACTAACCTACAAACTAATCCTGACCATCTATTCTAATTGATCTGCCGTACATTTAATCTGGGTGATTTTAGACAGTTGAGGGCTCATTAGTCTTTTTCATTATATCATTTCTGGAAAAACAATCACGTTCCTTTCCATAACTACTGTTATTCTAATATTTCCTTTCACCCATATTCTTCGATCAACAACTTCCAACATTCCATCAAAGCTTGATTTCATCGTCAATTTCATCGATCAACAGTTTACGCCCTTACTCGAACTGCTTCTTTCCCAACCGTAAGTTTATAATCAAACTTAATTCTCTGCTATGTCCATCTACAAATTTCACTCTATCTCTATCGCAAGCCACAATTTCTATTTTCAACCTAATACAATTTAATCGCAATAGATCTATTATACTACCTCTGTCCCTTAAAACTTTGCCAAAGTTGACCGGCACGGAGAATAATAAAGTAAAAACTGTGTGGTTGAGATTTGTGCAGAGGAGAGAGAAAAAACAGAAACCACAAAATAATGGATTAAAATGGAAAGTGGCAAAGTTTTTTGGGACGTCCCAAAAAGGAAAGATGGCAAAGTTTTAAGGGACGGAGGGAGTAAATCGAAGACCATGGATTCAGGTATGCTATAATAGGCGTTATCATAATCTCTTTATTGTATTAAGCTCTTTGTGTTTATTTTTGATTTTGATAACATGAAGTAAGTTTTATTATTCATCATTATCTCCTATGTAATGTATTCAAAGTATTATCCATCTCTCCAAACTTCATTCTAAAAATTGTAGTTTTTTACTCTTTGATTGTTGTTTTTAATTTTATTTATAGATTTCAGTGTTTTAAAATTGGAATGCAAACACTGTGAATTTGTTGTTAACTAGGTTAGAATTGGGTTATATGAAACATGAATGTATTTGCGATACAATATGCATCATTTATATGTGTACTATGCATTAGTTCAGTATGATGTAACAGTTCATTAAATACAGAATATATGCCTTTTGTGTTGTTAGTTAACTTATTTCATTTCCAACTGGTTATTAATTGTGTCAAAGGTCATCACTAATTAAGCTCATGTGTCACCTTTCATGTACTTCTTCTGTCTAGAATGTATCATGTTTTTTAAATTTTGATTCAAATAGTTTTGTTTCAATCATATACTTTGAGATGATTATCTGCTTCTTCTTTGAATTTTAAGCTTTGACATTTACCTGAATCTTACACCAGTATGTTTACTTTGCATGTTTGAACTGAATTGTATGCATTTGTCTGCTTAGTTGATGCATAACTCGTCGTCCTTTCAATATTCGCAGGCACAATATATGATTCGTGTACCTTTCACGGGATAAAAATAAATGTTCTCTTAGAAGAATCAAGTCTTTAGAGGAGGTGGCTGTTGAAGAATCAAAATGTCCCCAGGGGCTTTATAGATTGTGCAATGAGATGTCTGGTCATGATAGCTTTATGAGCTTGAATTATCTCTTAAACAAACAAATTCATAATGTCACTATATTATTGGACTTGTTTGTTTGTTGTATCTTAATTTCCTATGTAATGATATGTACATTGTAAGCATGTTGATGTAATCAATCCATCTTTACTTTTGTTCATTGTACGAGATGTGTATGTATTATATGTGCTTAAAAAATTTCCTATTC